TCGGTTCGACACAATAACTGAACTGCAAATTTCACAAGACGGATGCTGTTAGTATGGAAGACTTGCTTCTCCATCCTAAAGACAGTTTTTTAACGTGAAATGGGTTGGCATTAACATTATTCCATTTAAACTTTTGAATGACGAAGGCCAAAATTTTAACTTCATTTAGTCTGTACTTACTCCTAAGATGACATTCATTAACATTAAAGTTAATTTTCTTTTTATAATGTCAATAGAACATAGCAAGACATGAATAATTTCATTATCTGTTAGTATGTATAGACTATGAAGCTAGGAACATAGAGCACTTGCTTGACTGGTGGTGCAGGAGAATTGTCTGTATTCTGTCAATCATGTTTTAAATAAACGCTGATTGGCCAGGCAGGAAGTATAGTTGGGTAAACCAGACAGAAAGTAGAGGCGGGGTGATGAGAAGAGGAGTATTCTGGGAAGAAGGAAGCTCCCTCCGCAATCCTGCCCAGATCACAGAAGAAGTAGGATGTGACCTGCACCGCTAAAAAAGCTACTGAGCCATGTGGCTAACATAGATAAAAACAATGGGTTAATATAAGTGATAAGAGCCAATAAGAAGCCTGAGCTAATGGGCCAATCAGTTTATATCTAATGTTGACTTCTGTGTGATTCTTTGGGGCTAAATGGCTGTGGGAACTGGGCAGGACAGAAACCCCAACAAGCAGCCCCTAATGTAACAGACTGGCACATACAAAGCCCTGGGTTCAAGTTCTACCACAGGCAGGGGTAAAAAAGAAGAAAAGGCTTACAGCAATCTGCTATGATAAAATATAGGCAGAACTACACCCACCCACAAAATAAATAGAGTTCAGTTGCTTCAGAGTAAAATAACTAATTATCTGTTTTTACATTTTTTTTTGTCAATGAATGAGTACATTTCAAAATTCTAAGAAAATCATTACATTTGGCTACTTATGATGTCAAATTAACTTTATTACTATCTAGATTAGGAAAGTTATTTGACACATTTTGAGGTTGGAGGGGGACGGCACAGCATGCAAATCATTAATGTTAAGTTCAGACAAGTTCATACTAGCTTTTCAAATGTATAGAAGCATCAGTATCAAGTTCACAATGAATGAAATATTGGAGTTTTTTTCACAAAAAATTAAATTCTCCATAACCATGTGCATGCACACATAGTTACTGTGTATATGTGTGGATGAATGAGAAAACAGCAAAAAAAAATCGAATGTGACTGCTTTTCTTTTCACAAACCAAGGCGTTCATTAAGCAAATGCATTTGCATAAAACAAAAGGACACAAATGCAACAATCATCTGAGAATACATATGACCTAAGAGGCAAACACGGGTAAGTTACAACACAGCTTCATTCCACCCTCAGTGAACAAACGCATGTTTTGAATGCAATGCAAATCTAAGGAATCAAAGGTAAAAGAGCCATTTGTGAAACTTAGGTTAAGCCAAGCTGCCTTTCCTCCCAAACACTCTCAGCAACACTCACACCAGGCTAAGTTAAAGCATCCCAGTATTTCTCAAAATTAGTGCGTGATTCTAAATACAAAAAATCACACTCAGTGTCCTTGCTGATTTCCGAAACTAAAGTCGTTCCTTTCAACAGTCAGAGCCCTTTCTCATTTGGCAGCCCTTTTCCAAGAGTTTCAAGCAAATTGTAAAATGGTCCAGATCAGATCAAAAAAAAAAAAAACAATTAGTTTCTGCATTATGATTTGACTAACTTCAATCTTTGTGATCTTATACTCTTTTTAAATCTACGACTTATGGTTTTCGTGGCTATAGCTCTTTGTGAATCACAGGTAAATCAAGTCCATAACAATGTTGCTTGTTGTTGAATACTAGAAACAATGCCAGGCACAGCAGCTGGAGCCAGTAAGTCCCACACTGGCCATTATTCCCTCTGGGGCAGGCAGGGAGGAGGGAGGGAGTATATCTGCAAACTGCAAGAAGAATATCATTAAGAAAATTATTTCTGAAAGACTTTCCATTCATATTTTTCAGCAGGACTCTCAATCTCAAGCATAAGCATCATGCTAGGCAATCTAAACTGAGACATCAAAGGCATTTCCCCAGCTGACAAATCACTGGCTGTCTGGTTGATCACTCTTCTGGCCAGGGAGGCCTGATGCAGCCTAACATGTCTACATCAAGAAATTAAATAGTTCACATAAGCCTTTGTACTCATGACTCCTCCTACTCCAGGTCTCTAGAAGGACTCTGCTCACCCATACAACTCAGAGGGGCAGATTGTTGAATATTCACCTTCAGACAGGGCACTACATTGACAGAGTCAGCCCTGATGACATCAGGACCTGTGGAATGTATGACTGCTAGGAAACACATGCTGCTGAGAAGCAGAGAACAGACCTGATGGGATCTTCCAGCACAAAGACTGCAAATCACTGAGAGCTGCTGAAAGGGGAGGGAACACAGCACACTTCAGTCCTCGGAAATGTTTGCAAGTACAGAGACTTTCACACAAACCCCCCAGAAAGGAACAAACTATAGGAAACAAGATTCTAGGGGGTTAAGCCCTCAATCTCTAGGCTTTTTATTTTTTTTATTATGATCAGGGTTGCTTTCTTGTAAATATCTTAGAAAATACAACTTCATCAAGATTATTCAGTACTAGTCCTTTGAATCCTATGCTCTGTGAAGTGGTCAAAATCATAATATAAGTGTACTTAAAAATAAAATACACATTTACAAAAAAAGGATTCTTTAAAATAAACTAGGTCATAACCATTTTCAACAAACATCAAAGTAGTTAGAAGTAATATACAATAGGTAATGCAATGCATTTTAATTATTGTATTTTAAAAGTAGTTATTTTTGCAAGCATAAGTTTATTAAAATGTGTTTATCTCTGTGCATTTGTTATCCATTCTCCCATTACTTAAAGAGTAAAGAAAGAAATAAACAGAAAACTACAATGCTGACAGGGATTTCAGCATAAACATCCTTTTGATTTCTACGCAAATTATCTGGTATCCTCTGTTGGTTACATTGGAAAACAATTGGCAATTCTACTTGTAACCCGAATACAGATAAATTGGGCGCCAGAACTGCTTGCTGATCACTTAGTTACCATTCCAGATTGAAAAATGGGTTAGGGGTCTGGCTAACCTCTGTTATCTCATTGACAAATGCAGCTGACTTTCCAAATGCAAAATCACTAAAGTGTTTCCTTGCAGATTGTACGATGGCATTCTTTAACTAGCGATGACAGCCCATATGACACCAAAATTAGCAGACCTCCCATTTACTTCAGAGCAAAACACAGAAGGCGTTTTTCCTTCCTGCCAGAGTCTATGTGTCTCCTCATTTCCCCAGCAGCTGGCCGCAAAGATGTAGAATCAGAGGGGCGAGCAGTCTTATACTTCCTAATGAGTAATTCGCCCAGGAAAGTAAACACACCAGACACCAGCAGGTTAGCCTCTGAGTGAGACGGTGACAAAGATGCTTACACTGTTGTTTACAATGTTCTCTAACTACTGCAGTCAGGGAGCACGGGAGCCTCAGAGAGGAGACACCCGGGAGGAGGCTCCCAAGCCTCCAGTTCGCCCAACTGTTCTATCACTGGTCATCAATAAAAGCACCACACGTTTCTATCCGGACGAGGAGAGTGGTCAGATAAGACCAGAGCCTATGCAGGCTAGACTTGATTACCGCAAATCTGCAAGAGGTGACTGCTGGAGCAGGTCCCCATCAAGGCCAATCTGGAGTCGCTGCACCAGCGACTCTAAGCATTGCACACATCTCCAGGGGAGAGGGAATCTGCCACTAGGCTTCCTTGCAACCCTACCAGGGGCCCTCTGGGCCTCTTCAAACCAGATTTTCCAGCTAAGTTGATCCCAAGCGATTTATATGAGCAAGCTCTACTCAAGTAGCTTCAGGTCACCCATCACTACACAGGTCTCCCCGCCACCCCAAGCGCGCAGGATCCTATACACACAGATAACACAGACGGCGACCCCTGGCCACTACCCCTACAAACACAGGGCAGTACTGCTGGACATCTGGCATGCTCAGCCGCCACTTCCCGGGCAGAACCAGAGGCTGGGTAGCGCTGGTCCACGCGCTCCGCTTCAGAGACTATCCATCTCCCAAGCGAAGCACTGAGATGCCCACTCTTCTACCTGTAACCTGCCACCAGGGCTACCACTGTTCTGCCCACCGCACCCTGGCGCCGCGGACGCCCCAACCATTGAACACCCTCTCTACACCGTGCTCACTCTTAGCACAGCTCTACCCCTGTGCCAGCCACGAAAAGCGGTAGCTTTCTCCAACCATAATCGCCTTACAAAGCCTAGGCACTCAGGTCTAAATCAAACTGCCGTGAAGGGGACACACAAGAGGGGACACACGAGAGGAAGCAACGAGGTTCCACTTCTCAAGGGAGCGACCTGGGCAAGCCCGGCCACCTTGGATGCTCCAAAGCAGACCAGACGTCCAGGGAGGATCACTCCAGGCTCACCACCATGCATTCTCCATCACCCCAGACTGAGTTCCTCACCGGGTCCCTGTTCGTCCTCCAACCCGTTCCCACCTCTCGAGTTGCTTCAGACTAGAGGAGAAAAGGCGCCCCCTTGGTTGATTTCTGCCCCTACTAAAGGACAACATTAGGGTGACAAGGGAGGGAAAATGTTCGGGGTGGGATTCGTTCCTGTCATTCGGCGCGTGCGACTGCCAGTGCGCGGGTTTTCCTTTGCTCTACATCAGCCTCTGTCATCATATCGCCCAGTAGCTGGTAGAACCTCGAACCCGTGCCAAACCCCAGCGCCCACCAGCCAGGAGGCTCCCTTCCCTCTCCAGATCACGATCAGATGAGTGTGCGCGTGAGGGCGAGTGTGTGAAGGCGAATGTGTGAGTGGAAGGGTGAGTGTACGTGAACCCTGCACCCCCCTCAGTTGCCCGCCCAGCGGGTGCCGCCGCCTGCGCCCGAGCTGGGCGACCGCTGTTATGAAGAGTGCAAAGAATAAATTACCTTTCGTAATCGCCGGTCCCTGAGATGGTCCCATCAGTTGCTCAACAACCTGCAACCCGGTACAGTTTTCCACAATCCATCCATTGAGCCCCAGGGCAAAAAAATGAAGAAGAAAAAAAGAAAGAAAGAAAGAAAAAAAGAAAAAAAAAAGCTGGACCGGCCCCAGCGAAGATACCCCAGCCACACCAAGCAAAGAATGATAATCAAAACGCAGAGACGGCTGGAGGGTGGAGACCCCAGTCAAAGAAACAACAAAAAGTGTCTCTTTCCTTTCTTCTTCTACACAGCCATGGAGAAAGGGGAAGCCGGGAAAGCCAAATGCTTGTCTTCCTTTACGTTTCCTCGCTTCACACGCCCCAGGGGGCAAAAGCGGAGCAAAGAGAAGGAGGGTTCAAATGTCTCTCCCAGGGCACAGTTGCACAACTTCGGAGTCAGGCTGTGTCTCCGGCTGCAGCCCGCGGACCCAAGCGGGAGCTATTAACATGCGGCAGTCATAGCTAAGGCTGCCTTTCCTTCTCTTGCTGCCGCTGCCGCTGCCGCCGCCGCCGCCGCAAGAAAAGCCGCTGCTGAGGAGACCAAAAATCTTCCACCATCCCCCCCCAAGCCGATCTTTATATCCAGTTCTCCCACCCCACCCCCCTTCTCTTTCTTTTTCTTCTTCTTCCTCGTCCTCCCCTTTCCGCCTCCGAACGGGAGGGAGGGGATAGGTAGGGGCAGCGGCGAGGACCAGTAGTGGCTTCTCCGCCCAGCCCTGCTCGCCGTCCTCCTCTTGCTGCCCCCGAGGTGCTCCGGCTGTAGAAGGTCCGCTCTGCCGCCCGCAACCCGCTCGGAGAGCCCCGGAGCCAGCCGCGCAACTCCTTCCCCGGTGCACGGCGTGGACGCGCGGGCAGAGCGGGCGCCGGGCCGCCGAGGGCTGCGTGCCTGCCGGGGGTGGTGATCCCCGAGCTCCGGTAGTGGTGGCCGATCAGCTTGCCGGCCGTGCCGGGTAGCTGCGGGCATGCGGGAGCTTCATCGCGCGGCCCGGGCTCCGAGCCGCCGCCGTCACCGCCAAGCGCCGCGGCCGCCGGCTTCGGTTCTTTTTCTCTGCTGGACTCCCCCGGAGCCACTGAGGCTCGGGGCGCCCTCCAGACACGCACACGCTGTCCCCCGCGCGCGCGCACTCACACACAGACACACGGGTGAGCTCCTGCCACAGCACACCGTGCAGCCCGCGCGCGCACACCCGGAGCAAGAGGACTGAGGCCAACAAAATAAATAAATAAATAAAAGAGAAGAAAGAGAGGGGAGGGGGGCGAGTCACAGGCGGTGGCGGCGGCAGCAGCTGCGGGAGCGGAGGCAGCGCGCAGTCCGCGAGATGCCAGCGGCGGCGGCGGTGGCACCTTCCCGGCCCGGCCGTGCCATCTGCATCCCCGCTCCTGGGAAACAGAGCGAGCGCTGCGAGCCGAGCAGGCAGAGGGACGATGCGCCCGCAGACAGGCAGTGTGCACGCTGGCGGCCAACGCAGCCGAGGCCGGAGTGAGCCACCGGCGGGGTGACGGGCGCGAGAGCTCCCAGGACCGGAGAGGGGGGCTCTAGCCCGAGAAAGGGGTGGCCAACAAAACCCGGATCTGGAGTCCGCGAGGGCTCCGCGGGCGCGGGCTCCACCTAGCCGCTCCGCAGATGCTTGGAGGTGGGAACCGCGGGGCGGCTACAGGAGGCTTCGCTTGCAGGGTTTGTCAGACAAAGGGTACCTCTCTCTGGGCTAGACGTCTCTCTCTCCTTTCCTCTCCTCGCTCTCTTTCTCCACTCTCCCTTTCCACTCTGCTGTCTCTCTCTCCACTGGTATCTCCTCACTCTCTTGTCTTCCTCCCCCACTCTGCTATAGGTGAATGAGGTACCAGGCTGGGAGTTCTGCCAGGGTCTTCTTTACAGGTGCAGACTACTCCACTGGTTCTTTCTGCGGGTGCCGACTTCTAAAGCATTTCCTGTCTTTGGTCCATTTTCTCTTCCTTCAAACTTACCTCAGTGTGCAAGTTCACAGCAATATTAAAAGCATCTTACCCCGAAAAATGGGGCATGAGAATACAATGTTTTTATTTCATGATGTCAATAAATATTACCATAAGGGGTATAGAAATCTATCTTGATTCTAACTCCATGCTTTCTGCTGTGTTTGCTCAAGTGACCTTCGTCAATGATTGCACCTCTTTGAGGTGTTTTTGTAATGAGATAGTTAAGTATACAAGTGTTTCTTTTTTTTCTCTGCAATAAAATTTCCTCACTTCCAAGGGCTAAGGAGGTATTTTCTATACCAGTATACTCTAGTAATTAAGATTTGTTGTATGAACCCAGCAAGTACATGCAGCCCTACTCAAGTCTCCCAGGTTGCATGAGGTTGTATAGCTTCATAATGATTTAACTTCCTGTGGGAATCCAAAACTTCATAAATTCGGAACTTCAATGCCAGCACATCTGTAGAACTTAAAGGTCATCATAATTAGCTGACCATCCCCACCTCACGTGATTATCAGAATTGCATTCATTCTTCATAGTTTAACTCCCAAGCCATAAACCCCAAGAAGCCTTTTCTTATCTAGCCTAAAAGTGAGAAAATAAGTTCTTGTAACATATGGCATGCACACTAAATCCGTTATCTTCTCTGTTAAGATTGGGATCCCAAGTGTCCACCAAAGGTCTTTATGTCAAAGGTCACTATCTGGTCACTATCGAGTTGCTATTGAGAGGTGGGAGAACTTTAAAGAGGTTGGGCCTGCTGTAAGGTGTTAGAACCTTGGCAGTGTGACCTTGTGGAGGATATAGGAACCCCTCAGACACGGACTTCTGCTTCCGAGTCACTGGGAAGAGAACAGCTTTTCTTCGCCATACAATTATAAGTATTGTTCTGTAACATAGATACCAAAAACAACAGAGCCAATTAAACACGGACTGAAGCCTCAAACTGTAAGCCAAAAAAACCTTTCCTGCCATGAGGGTGATTGTCTAGATGTATTGTCACAGGAACAAAAGTGTGGCCAGTTCCGGCAGCACTTTGGTAACATCTCTACCATAGGCCTATTTCATTCTGCTCACCTCTGGCTTAAAAAATAAAATAACTAGCTACTTGTCCATATATCTTCTCAGATTATGAGAGCTATGTTAAAGATGAATTCCAAGCTTTAGTTTTCTTTCTTAGAAAAAAAAAAACTATACTGTCTTTGCATATACAATAATTCTTTTGGGGTGGGGAATAGAAGCTAAAGAGATCTAATGGCTGAATTCTGACCAAGAATATTTTCATAGGCTCAAGTATGACTGCTTGAATTTTCTTAATACAGAACAGCTACAAGTTCCCATGAGTACTTAAATACAAATTGACATCCGAACTCACTTTTAACCTAAAACAAATAGCTTCACAAAGAAAAGGCTAGCAAATTGTGCTGAGCCTCTCAGCTGTACAGGAGGCAAAACAGAAACAACTCAGTTCTTATTTACCATATGCTTGATGGGCATATATATAAACATAATAGAAGAGTATCATTACATTACATGTATTAGATATAAAGTAAATCAAAGATATCACATATTGTTAGTGAGGACAGTACAAAGATAAATATAAATAACTCATAGATATAACTAAGAAGGTTGTATGTAATGTATCTATCAAAATGTGGAACAGCTCACTTGAATACTTGGGACAGTCCCTTAAATGAATATTTGGAAATTGTTCACTCCATAGGACTTGAACAAAAATAAACAAAAATTTCAGAGATCATAAGGGTGAGGGAAAAAGGAGAAAAAGGTGAGCAAAGGCAACGGATGGTTTTAAAAAGGAAGGAAAAGACTGGTTATTTATGTAGGCCTTGTAGTGTTTCCCAGCAGCTTTTCCATATTTTAAGACCAAAAATTATGCTCCCAAGTTACTTTTGATATGATGAGTCTACTCTTTTATGTTTGATTAAGATGTAAACCTTCCACTTAGAACTAGGAAATCTATGATCTTGGCAATATTTTCTCAGGTGACTTCTATAAAAGTAAAGGAAGTTCTGGAATCCTGTAATTTTTTTTTTGTCTATGCAATTGTATTGAACTCCTTCTTGGAGAAAAGACGAAAGCGGATGACTAAGCAGCACAGACATTTTATACAAGATAGCTCCAGGCACACTAGAATGGTGCTTTTGAGAGGGAGTTTAATCTAGGACACTAGAAAGAGTTGGGCTCTAGTGCAATGTACTCCGAGGAAAATCAATATTTACCAAAAGAAGAGAAACTCAAACTGTTAAAAATAGGGATATCTAATTAAATACAAAAAGAAAAAAATTCAAAAACGTTAATAATGATTAAATTCTCTTGGCGAAAGGATTCTTTTCAAGCCAATAAGCACAACAAAGTCCCAAATATCATGAAACTTTGTTTAAGGTATTGAAAAACGGGTATATACGAAAGATACAGATGGCGAGTAAACATTAGGAAATAGTTCCTGCCAACGGAAATACAAGATAAAATATTGTACACGAGGAAGTTGTGAGCTGGACTTGTCTTGAGGACACACCACACATGTTTCTGTTCACTTCAAAAAGTGCACCAATGTTCAATTTAGTGACCCCATGAGTATTCATCTGGGGTTTCCAAAAGAAGTACAGGTAAGGGGATACTTAGAGAACAGCAGGTATAAGTCAAAAATCAATTGTTATCACCGGAAAGCCTACCCAGATATGAACTCCAAAGCTTTCTAAACAACCTGAGGGCAGCTTCGTATCCAGAAAGAACATCTCTCTCTTCCCTTCCTTCTTCACTCCCTTCCTGCAGTTTCTCTGCTCAATCTCTAACCTCAGCTGTTTTTACTCCTGGCAGGGCCCTCCAATATTTAAGAATCTTCCAAGGTTTTGTTGTGGGACTTGTGAACTTTTCTTTACCTCCTATTTACCACCTCATCTGAAAAGTCTCCCTTCTCCTTCTGGAGCAAATGTTTCAATTCAGAAGAAAAGTTGCAATTTGGAGAAGGCAATACAATAGAGGTTCAGCATGTTTCTGTTTTGCTCATAAAAAGCCTTGCAATAGCAGCAGTGGCTCCTTTGTTCCCACTTACAGTTCCGGTAATTAGAACTACAATGTAGACACAAAGATAAGAAAGGAAGAAAAAGAGAATACCTGGCCTCCAAAACCTTTTCCAAAAATTAGCATGCATCTTTTCCTGTTAATTCCATCCTCAGATGGGAGATGTGGAGTATTCCAGGCAATTCTGTGTCCACCTGGAAAGTCAGGATTCTTTTCCTTCATTCCTTGGCTCTTTCTCGGCCCGCATGAATTAACATTGTTCACTTCTCTTGGCCAGACTTTACATACTGTAATCTCTTAGTAGCCAAGTAACTAGATAATGCAGGCAGGAGAGGATACCTCCTTCACACAAAATAACCTTTCTTCTTCAAAAGCATGTAAGCACTTACAGGGTTTCAAATTACGGCGCTTTCCCCATCAGGGACAGTCCTGTAATACCCAATCAAGTATCTGCAGACAGCTACGTTTTTAAATGCGGTGAGGTCTAAATACACTGACAAATCAAGGTAATCAGGGTGAAGTCACATCTGCAGAGCTGCCAGTGAAGCACAAGGCTCAGACTACTAGTATGCAGTGAATGATTAGAATTCTAAGGATTCAGGATGCACTAGAATAAAGATACAGATCATACCGCATGGCCTATCAGAACAGACTTTACTGTCCCGAGGATAAATTAACCAATCCCAAGGAATGTATCCAGGGATAACTTCCTTACAGCAAAGCCTTTTTTATTTTTTTTTTAACTTTAAACAAAAGTTTATTGCACAGGGGTTGTCATATCATTGGAGACTTATTTACGCTGTGAACAATTTTTCGTATTCTCCACAGGAACTAGTCATCTGGTGACAATCCTAACAAGCCCAGAACTGCAGACAAGCCTCAGTGATTTAAGCTGAAGATAGAACACTGGTACATAGTTTTGCATGCAGTATAAAGAACGTACAAATTCAAAAATACAAAATGAATTATATTTGGCATGGGTAATGACATCAGTGAACCATTATACACTATTGACTGAAACAAGGAACTGGTGAGCATAGTGATCTGCCAGCCTTTCCCTCTCTAGGTGACTTCTCTAAAGTTATTGGTGAGGAAACTGCCTCAAGCTTCATGTCACAGTTGATTGATAAGGCCAACTACTGTTCTCGGAATTATAACATGCCACATCTCATACCTGATCTCATTCCAGGGTTCTTCTCTAGGAATTTTGCTGTGGTTATCATGGAGGCCACAGCAACAATATTCCATAAAGCAACTTTACAGCTTCTGTAGACCAGGCTGGCCTTGTTACTCATAGAGATCCACCTGCCTTTGCCATTTATAGTGCTGGGATTAAAGACGTGCACTGCCACTGCTGAGCTGTAGTTCCAATATTTAATATTTATCCTTTAAATTGATTAACTTTGAAACTACTACCCCATCTTTTGTTGCTTGAGGACTTCCTCTTCTCTGTTCAATAGTCACTGTTCTTCTCTTTGGACTCATTGACCAGCTATAGCATCAGTTAGCGAGTGTACACTGTGAATCATTAAGA